TATACACTTCTGTCCAAAACTGAATGTTAAAAACATTAACTGTTGTCTTCCACCTCCAAGAGGTTACCTTCGCTAAGCTCTGTTTTCACTTTGTGTAGAGGACAGGAGGACAATCCACACAATAACAAACCCAACCTGAGAGATTCATCATTTAACAAGCAGTAAAAAATAAACACAGTAGGCTCAGACTGTCCACAGACAGCAGAAAATAATTTCAGACCATCAACATTCTTCCCAATATATAACTTTATTTAAAATATTGTTACAATTTATTACTCTACACATTTTTAAACTGGTTAGTAAACCTTTAAAGACGTTTTTAGATATAAAACTATTTTTTAAGCTTGTGTTAATCGCTGTCTTTATACACTCATTAAATGAGAAACCAGATGTGTTTWAAACAACTTTTTAAGTTTAGGTAGTCATCCGTGTAGCTGTTCTTCCCCACACTAAATCAACTGAAAGTGTCATAAGGTTTGTACATAATCATTTTACTAATTCGTTTAAATAAATAAAAGTTATGAATAGGAGAAATAATTGTTTTAAAAGAAGATTTTTTTTTCTTTTTTTAAAATGAACAAGTCTCAGGAGTTTTACGCTCACTGCTCTCCTGCTATAGAAAAGCTATAGTTTTCCAGAGCAGTAAACACAACTGTACGATGAGGCAAACACTTTTTTAACAGCGCTTACATCCACCCGTCATGTTAGTTAAAGTTAGGACACGTCAGCAGTGCTTTCCAGAGGTCGACAAACACCGAGTTCAGACAAAAACGCCGACGAAGAGACGACATATCGCGACTGAACCAAAACTGTACAAGAAAGACAAAGAACCTTACAGAAGTCCATTTAAAAACTGGAGTGAGCTTCATCACATGCTGCACAGTTGTGTTGCTGTAGCAACTGCATCCAGTTGGTAAAGAAAATAACTTTCTAAACCTTGTGTATGGCTCCCTCTTCAACATTTCTTACACTATAGAACATTCGTGGCTTATTTCAAATTTATTTTTTGATAAATAATCAGTTAAAACTCCGGGTGTCCAGCATCTCAAAACATAAAAATAAAAAAAAACGGCCCACGAAACGGCACAGACTGACACCAAACACAGGTCATCTGTCTAAAGACATGCTTGCTTACATTCCCGTCACATCTCCGCTTTCACCTTATTTTATTTTATGACATTTAGCTCATGGATGAAATAGCTGACAACACACACAAACCTGGCTATGATGGAGCGTAAGGCGGCCACTGGTACAGACGAGACAAACCGAACCACAAAAATATTTATATACATTTACTTTTCAAAAAGCGGCTTTCAAAAAGCATTTTCACAGCAGCCACAGGGACAAAGAACAAACAGCAAACACAAAACAACAAAAAAAGAACCGCGTTGAACGCATTATTGGGAGGACTGAGTCAGTTGGCTGACGAGAATAAAAGGAACAGAAGCTGCACTTTGAGGCAACGTGTTGCTGCCACGGCAACCGCATCCCCCTGCGATGATGGGAGACCAACCTGGAGCGAGCGAGAGAGGAGGACAAACGAGGCTGCACAAACCGCACACCGTCTTTTCTGTTTCCCAGGAAATTTAATTAATATTAATTAAAAAACAGAAACATCAGGGMTGAGCAGCTGCAGTTCTGACATTATCCATCTCTGGTGGGTTTTGCTGTCAAAATGACCTCCTGGCAATCTATGTTTCTCAATCAAGCTGCTTGTGTAAAACACAAACACATACTGCTGTGTCACTGAGAAACAACTATTAGGTGTCAAATTTATTGTGCTTCACATACAATTCTGTTACAGTGTAGCGGATAGAAGGGGATATCTGTGTGGGTTCAGCTTGAAAACAAACAAAKAAAACCCCACTTCTCATTTGTCTAAATTCATCCACRGCTGCTGTCTTACAAATAAAAATAAATTCCATCTTCATTTGTCGGCCCCCACACCGACAGCTCATCAGACACGTCCAATCAGAGCCTGCAGGCTTATCAGCAATGTCAATGATAAACACAGAGGACACACGAGCACGCTCCACGGTAGCTGACTGAAAGCACAGGAACACCAGAGACATGCAAAACCTGAAGCATCTGCAGAAGTCAAACTTGTGCTCTATAATTTATTATAAAAAGAAAAAAAAAACATTCTGAACTTCAGGCTTTTGGACCAAATTGTGAGTGAAGCCCAGAAATGAGTCAGTAATTAATTGGTAGAGATTAATTCTAGCCCTTAATGGGATAAACCAAGAAAACTCCAGCACTGAGGTAAAATCTGTTTTTTTTTGTCAGTGTCTGCCTTTTTACAGTTCAGCTGAGATTAAGGTGAAAAAGATCTAAATAAAAACATAAATAACCCTAACATCTGTATAACAGAAATTCACAAGTGTYGTTAATTTAATCATGTTATGCGCAGATGCACATGACTAATACTGTATCCATGTATGCACAGTAAGAGGCAGACGTTAAACTGATGCTATGGTAGCAGTTAAATTACTTCACYCTCTACTTTCTGTACGATACGTCATCTTACATCCCGACGTACTTCATGGACAAACTGCAGAGGAGTGATACTTTTCGTGACTTACAACCCCAGAGGGGATCACTGAGATTTCCATTTGAGCTCGCAAACTTACTCCGCCTTAAGCTCCACTGCCACCTGCTGCCTGCCCGGAGAACTGCACCCCGCACGCTCATAAATCCTGTTGTGTTTATATTCACAATTCTGTCAGTGAGGGTCCCCGCCGTGTAKGATGTGACATTTCAATAACATTAACGCTTTGGCCCATCAACCTTTTTGTTGGAGAGATTAGTCCTGCGGAGCTGAGGACGACAACGGCGCCTCCTCTCAGCTCCAAAGCTCGGTTAAATAGCCTCTATAAAACACTTGCAATGGGGATAAAATATCCATACACTGAGATTAATGGCTGCCTGCCAACAGACGTCACTCTGCAGAYTGGGTTAGACACATGAAAAGGTGGAAAATGGAGATTAGTTAATACATCCTGAACGTAACTCAATTAGATGAAGAAAAAAACTTTTACTGCTCTTATATTAATCTATATTTTATCAGAAGCATGATCGTTAAACATACAAATAATTCTGAYCACGTCCATTTCCTTTGTGACATTTGTGCTGCTTATATTCTGACAAACCCAGAAATAGAAAAAATATGTTAATGTCCAGCATCAGTGTGAAGCATGACTTTTTTTTCTTTTTTTAATCATTTGACTGTGAAAGAAACAGAAAACCCATTTATTGATGGACTCCCCCACCTTCTCTTGTTTTTTTTTCTTTTTATCTCAGCTCGGTTCCATTCGGGGCTCAAGCTGCAGGATTTGGGCTGAATGTGTCTGTCAGAAAAGCTGACTGTCAAATCTCCATCCCAGAACTCGTCTCTTTTCATCGGATTTCTRTGAGGTGGTCCGCTTTGCGACAATGCTTCCCACTGTGCCGTGTCAGACCTGAGCAGCCAGCCACTGAACTGACACGTCTCATCTCGTCCACTGAGGATCTGCTGCTGTTGAGCCCAACATCGCAGAGGCAGAGGCATGGAGGAAAAACAACAGACACACTATGAGGATCTAGTAAATTACATGGAAAGCTGGTTTATGGTGATTTTATTCCCCCTCCTTCTCATTCTGTCCGTCTCTGGATTTGTTTCAAGGGCGACTTTTCCAGTTTCCCCAAACTGGCGGCCTCCGTCTGTCAATTCCGTGGTTTAAATCGATGGGCGCTGTCCGGGGTGGCTGTGATGATGCGAGTGGATCAGTTCTGATTTGAGTGACAGCAGACGTAGTTTAGGAAGTAGCGATTTCGCCCCCTAGGTGGCACCATCCCTTCTGCTGCGTCTCCAGAGGAGGCAGATACTCTGGAAAAACAGTGACGGTTCAGAGGAACAAGTCTGAATGATCGTCTTATTTTATGTGAGCTGCAACACCACAAATCAACAGACCGGTCCAGATGACTGTGTTTGATTTACTGATCATTACAAAGTCGTCCTGTTGCATGACGATACTCTCCCCTCATATCTGGATCTCCTCAACTCTCTTCGGGTGTTTTATTATTCATAGCTTTTCCTGGAACCCTGAAGCTTGTGTTTCTGCCACGTACTCGTTTGTCCACATTCTCGTGTTGATGACTGCGTGTCYCTTCATATGTGACGAACAGTTTAAATGTCTATCTTCTGATCAGATGTCAGATATCCTAAAATCTGTCGCCCCGTGTGCACAAATATTTACACTTCACTCTCAGAGATGTTTGGCTTTTTGTAAAAGTTGTTTTCCAGTTTTATATTTGACTTTAAGTTGTATTTATTTTATTTTTTTGCAGTCTAACTACTCCTGCATACTTTGGCTTTTGATCTTTGTAACTTAATAATTTTCAAAATATTAAATTTTCTTTAAAAAATGTCAACATAGAAATGCATCAAACTAATTGAGAATGGACATTTTTCTCTTTGAAAGCCTTTTTTGTGTTTTTATATTACTTTTAATTAGCCTTTTGCTACCTTTAGCTACTATTCTGCTGCTTTCAGCTTTTAGCTAGTATTTTGTTAATTGTAGGTTTCGCTGCTTTTTGCTTACTTTGTGCAAATTTAAACTTTTAACTGGTGTTTTGCTCTTTTTAGCTAACCTTTTGTTATATTTACCTAATCCTTTGCTYCTTTTAGCTAAKCTTTAACAATTTTAGCTAGRGTTTTGCTCCTATTAGCTTTCATMAAATATTTTCTTCATTTAGATTTTAGATGATATTTTGCTTCTTTTAGTTAGCGRTGTTTCTTTTGGCATTTAGTTAATGTTCGGCCTTTTTATTAGCAGCATTTTGCTCCTTTTAGCTACGATTTTTGTTCTTTTTAGCCTTTAGCTACTGTTTTGGTCCTTTCAGCATTTAGCTAGTGTTCTACTTTTTTCAGCTTTAACAACTCAGTTTCAGCTTTTTCAAGCACATTTCAGCAGTTAGAATGTATTTTCTACAGACATTTTTTTCTCTAAATTGCAGCCTAATTAACCTTGAATTTTATTAGTTAAATACAGAAACTAATGTGCAACAAAAATATGTTTTGCAAATATAAAAGCTTACCTTAAATCCCTTTTTAAGCTGAAAATAATTCACCAACTTGAATTCACTTCTAATAAGTTCAAATATATTTGCTTTTAATCAATTCATACTTGAAATTCTTGCTCTGCCCTTGACATTTTAGGTTTTATCAGACAGGATGCTTTTGAATAATTTATGTTCTTTGATGGGTAGCATCCATCAAAGAAGAACAACGTCTGAATGCAAATTCCCTCTGATAAAAATCCAACCTCTCACACTAAAGCGCTGTTTCTTTCTGTCTGAAAGAATAAACAGTAGCCGTTTACCATTGTTGCTGCAGTTCTTGTTGTCTTTATCGGAGGCCTCTTCCTCAACCTGAAACAGATAAAAACTTACACATAAAATCCAAAACTTCACATTTATGTAAAACACTAAAGCAAACATGCTCTTTCTGTATTGGTGAGGAACAATGTAAAAACATGCTAAGTTTAGACCTACAAAGCTGGCATGCAGTCATCCATTTCCCACCAGAGGAAAGGAGGGGTCCTTACCTGTTTCCTCCACTTCAGTTCACAGAAGACTCGCTCAAAGCACTCGTGCATGTAGTTGAACTGGGAAGAGGGAGAAAGACTTTGTTATTCAGACATCAAATACAACTGTAAAATTAAGTTCATGTTGTTTTTCTTCTTCTGACTGAATACATGATTAAAGAGGGTATGAAGTTAATAACATTTTTATTTCAGGAAATCCTCGATCTGAGCAATATTATTTTTAAAGCCCCGTTTTTAAGGCACATTTCAGGCCATCTGAGCAACAATATTGTTTTGTTGTTGCTTTAATCAGAAATGAGACATGAAAGAGATCACACTTTTTAAATCTTTTTCTTGATATTTGTCACATTTTGAGTCTATAAAGTTTTTTGTACTGCTGTAATAAGATTGTTAGATGTTTTTATTCAATTACATCTATTAAAAAATCTGGTTCTTGGAAATTACTTGTAAAATAAGACCTCCTAAAAGGTTTACCAAAGTTTTTTAATAGCAAGGCATCAGATTTAAGCCACTAGAGAAGGATTTACTGTAGGGTCTCTCTTTGTGGACCCTAATATCTCCATCCTAAAGCTGATTATTTGTCTCCTCCCAAAAAATAAACTTAACGGAAGTTTGACCAACAGTAAAAACAAATGTGTCTTCTCCACACATAACCATTACTTGGACAGAGATCATTCACATCCTGCCTGTTATTTGAAATTAAATCAAAACCCTCAGGGTTCGATTTCATTTCCCATGTACCTCCTGACAAAGGGTAATTGAATTAAGGGTAAATTAAAGTCTAGCTTTAGCCTTTCTTTATGTGGAGAGATATTGCTCTGGTCTTTTATTAAATGAACTTCCAAATGAATACGTTGTCAAAATGATTTTTTAATCAATGTTTAGTTTAGTTTAATTCATTTATTCATTTCACTTAAAAAAAATTTATACACAAAAAATAAATAAATAAAAAAAATCACATTTGAAATGAAAGGAGGCAGAAAGAAGAAGAAAAAAYTCTTAAAATCTGCCCCTTTTTTCCAAAATTAATTTCAAGCAATCAGATTCAAGAAAAACAAAATAAAAACTTCAATTCCTTTTCAAACAACTTTTGATATACATTACACAATTTTATATTTCTTTAACAAACTTATTTTTATCATTATTTTAAACACATTTAACCAACATTTTTATAATCAATTTCCAGATTATTCCCCAATCTTATTCCTTGAACTGAAGTACATCGGTCCTTCAAATTTGTTDGAAATTTAGGTTTTATAAACATCTCAAGTCCCTTAAGATTATATAAACTTACCCTCCTAACAAAATATAACTGGATGTTTAAAGGTAATTTTTTTTATGAGCCTTATACATAATCTGAAAGATATAATAATCAATCAACTCATAAAATTTTAATAATTTCAATTTACAAAATAATATATTCAATGGATGACAGTAATGTTTTCTGGTGATAATTCTGACGGCTCTTTTCTGTAGAATAAAAATAGGATTTGTGATTGTTTTGCACGCTTTACCCCAGACTTCAACACAGTAAATCAAGTGTGGAACAATTGCATTATATAATATAAACAGAGCTTTATCATTAAATAAGTCCTTTACTTTGTATAATACTGCAATGGATTTGGCTATTTTTGTTCTTAAATGATTTATGTGGGATTTCCATGTTAGCTTTCCATCATAATGACATCCAAAAACTTCACTTCACTGACTCTACAGATCTCAAACCACAAATACCATACAATTAGTTTTATCCAAATTTAATGACAATTTATTAAGTTTAATCCAGGTTTGTATTTTTACAAATTCTGTTTGCATCATTTCCATCATCRGRTCCATGCCAAACYTTGTGGAGATTTCGAGATGGAGCGTCCAATAATTCCATAAACGTTGTCATCAATCTCTTTCCATTAACTTTGATGGTGACTGATGATGTAATGTTTCAAAGCTGCTGTTCTGTGTAACCACGTGTGCATGTGTTCTCTCAGCCYTGTGTTTGTACATGCCCGGTGTAAAAACAAACACTTACATATGGAGTGAAAATCTTAACCCAGCGAGGTTTCTTCTCTCCTCGAGCGTACTCGAAGCAGAAAGCCATCCCCTCTTCATCAGTGTCCCAGCGCTGCATCTCTGCCCACTCAAAGGTTATTACCTGGTTCTGGAAAAGACAGATTCATGCTACTTTACACGTGCAAATAAATATTTTAACTAATGTCAAGATTTAATATGGGAAAAAAAAAAAGCATTTTTATAAATGAATTGAAAAATATAAACTATATAAAAAAGGCAAMGCACTGGATTTGTTTTGTGTTCTGTGTTTTAAAACAGCTCAAGATGAATGCTCACCTCCAGCGTGCCGTCCTCAGTGCARGCATGCAGCTTGAAGTGATGGATGCTGATAGCTGTGATGACATGGCCCTTCCTCCTGGAGTCGCAGGAGCAGTGGGGGAAGACCACCTCATTGTAGCCCTCACATGTCCGTAACAGGCTTAGGTACTAACCAGTAATAAAAGAGGACACTTTAGGAAAGTGTAACCAAAATATATTATTTAAATTCTCAGACTTTGATTTGAAACTAACAGAAAAASACACCAAAATGCTACCTTCATTTAAAGAATACTACTCTTTATAAGCTTTAGACAGGAATTAGTAATGTGACTGTAAATGTAGTTTGAACTCTGAGACAAAAGGARCTTTTGTAGTTAATGTTCCACAAACATCAATATAAGCTAAATGGCTTTATGTCTGTTTACTCCACAGAGAGCCGTTTTCTGAAGCATGAAAGGATTTCCGTTTTTTTTTTTCTTTTTTTAATCTGTCCATGTTACTCTGAAAGAGTTTTGGTGATGGCTCTGGTCAGCAGGCACACAGTGGTAGTCATCCCCATCCCTTGCCTCAACAAAGGCTGGTTTGTGGTACTGACCGTGGCCATCTTGCGCTGCTCCGCCAGTTTCTGCAGCTGGTAGGATTTGTCCTCTGTTTTTATGAATCCCTTCTTCACATCATCCAGTGCCTGGACAAACGGGGAGTGGGAATATGGTGGCGAGTTTAGGGTGGCACAGAAAGATACGACATTTATCAGCTGAGATTACAGAAAACAAACAATTAGACGAAGCGCAAAACACCAATTTCCCAATACAAGGTCAACAAAAAGTAGTCAGAGCTCGTGACTGTTTGGTACAATGTTTAATAATAAAAAGCCATAATAATGGTAATAATTTAGTTAATTTGTAAATACCCAGAGGAGAAATTCCTAAAATTTAATACGTTACTTTTTAACTGCTGTTAAGTGACCGTTAATGCTGCCAAGTGGCAAAATTCTGWAAAAGTCACTGCTGAACTTTGAAAAACTTGGAGGCTAATAAAGCCGATTCAGGTGAACTTGACTGATATTAATAGTTATGAGAAAAATATTAGATTACAGCATATTTCTTTTACTCAAACATGATCTGTTCAATACAGTTCTTTTAGACCTAAAGACTCAGAGGGAAATGTTAATCATTGTCCCTACCTGGTGGAAGCAGTAGTGCAATGCCAGCGGGTTATCTCTGAGTAACTCCTCCTCCTGGATGCTAAACAACCATTTGCGGAGCGCTAAACACGTTCCCGGAACAGCTGATGTGTAGTTTTGCACATAAAGCTTGTGGGGGAACTCATTTGGTGCGAGCTTCCTCACTAACAAAAAACAGAAAGAAGGCATGTAGCTTTAAAAACATACATGAAAGTTCACAAGTTCTCTGCAAACTAAACTCAACAGTGGGATGGTGCTCTTTGTTCAGAAAGCAGAACAGGTGTCTGAGACTGTTTCCTTTCAAAAATAAGACTTAAACATTCTTACCAAAGGAATGGTTGATGACTTCAAAAAGAGCAAAGTAGCTTGCCATAATACTGTCCATTCCAACTTTAAGCACTAACGCCTACAAACAAGCAAAATAAAGCCACTTATTTGTTTCGCAGCAAATAAAATGTGATGCAACTTACACTTCAACAGCATTAGCTGGWCTTACCTGGTACACCTGGTCTGTAGTACTGTTTTTACGGACCCTGACGGAGATGGTGGTCTTTTCTGGCAGGGCTATCCGCAGTTCCACATTTGTCACACCGTTGTAATTCTATGAGAAGCAAAACAATAAGAGACGCATGTAAAGTGTCCCCTGCCACACTGCGAGACTATTCAGAAACAGCTGAAAGAACAAAGAACCAGAGGAGTTGCCTTACAAACCCAGTGTTTGAATCTAATCAGTCATTCAGTAGATGCACAGAAGCAATCTCAATTCAAAAAAGGCAGATSTCTGCAAACCACAAACACTACAGAACCTGCAGTGGAGGTTCTAGTGTGCCGTGTTTACGGTCTGATGGGTCAGCACTGTTTAAATGGCACAAATGACCATTTGCACGGTTTTAGGCAGATGTTTTTAGGGCTGTAACACTTGCAAGAWATCCAAATGTTATTTCTTAAATGCTAGATTGTTTTATTATTGTTGCTTCAATAATTACTGAGAACATCAGCTCCTCAGCAACAATTGTCCCAACTGCCTGTACCTAACCGTCAACAAATAAAAGACTATTTGTTTAAGTAAACATTCAGTTTAAGTCAACTAGATGAAGTTAAAATGGACGTTTTCCATCCACAGTGCGAGTTGCAAGAACCCACTTTCCTGGCCTAAATTCCACCACCCCATCTGTCTCCAAACACACAACTCATGAATCAAGGTTTGTTATTCWGAAGATTGTCCTGAATGCAAGTTCTTGGGCTGCCCCCAAAACTAGGGTTGCCATGAACTAAATCTGTGAAAAGGCCATCTGACTGTTTTCTTTTCCCCTTCCGGCCTGCTGWGGTTCTCAGTTGTGCAACTTGAAGCTTTGGGTGTAATTTTCTTCTTTTAAGCTAAAGAAAATTATTTGTTTCATCCAATTCTACTGTCAACCACAATCTTTACAACAAAAAAACTTTGCAATGATTATTATTATATTGTAAAATTCTGCCAATAAACCATTTTAAATGTTGTACAGCAGAGCTTTGCAGGGCATATGCAGGAGAAAAAAAAACACAAAAAACAAAATCATACAACTTCACACAAGAGAAATGACATACCTCATCTGATTCAGAGAGAAACTCCTGCATGATGTCACTCTCTCCTATAACCCGCACTGAACACACTGGAAACAATTATAGAGGAAAAACGGTACAAAATAAGGCAGGCTGCAAAATGATACAAAAATAAACACTATGTCACTGTTTCAAGWGTTCAGATGCACTGTTGTTTTTAAGTACTTCAGAAAACTGATGACAGCTGTTCAATGACTCCATCTTCACTACATGAACTCTGCACATTTAATCAGGTTCAGATCTTCAAAGCAGGCCCGACATAAATATTATAAAATGGAGGTATGATTTTTTCCAGAACAACCCACAGATTAACAACAGAGAGGTTTCTCTTGTTTTCTCCCATGTTAAACACAAGCAGGTTTATTAGCAACCACCATAATCAGCCTACCTCTCTCCAGATATTCCTCCAGGCCTCTGCGGCGAGCGTCCAGCTGCTGCTCGGAGAGCGAGAAGGGCCATTTACCGGGAAGCTTTGGGAAGTTGAAGTTTGAAAATTCTCTCTTTAGGTTTTGGTGCAGGATGGCAAACTCGCGGTAGCGTTTTGAGCACAGCTGTCTTCCTGACATGTACACATTGTACACCTATGGCCAAAACATTAAGACATTAGGAGGTTAAATACATTTTCTACTTTTAGAATGTCCACAAAGGCTATTCATTTGTTCTGTATGTTTTAAGTAAAAATAAATATAATAAAGCAAAGCAGACAAGTCAAAATTACTCACCACAAACCTCTCAGKGTGCTGCTCGACATGCTTATATGTGGGAATAGAAATGGGCACTGCCTGCTTGTCACTGTAATCGTAGTTAGGTTGGATATCCTCTCCACCTTCTAAACCATCGGCTTCTTGAGGCGGGACAGACAACACAGCCAGAACCAGCTCCTTCTCTGCTGCGCGGATCAGGTCCACAACCTGCTTGTGAGTTGCACCTTCCACGTTCACCCCATTCCTAGAGAACAGCAAGAGCGTGGCAAAAGAAGAGCAAAACGGTGAACAAGGAAAACAAAACAGTAAGCAAAGAGTTTTAAATACTTAATTCACTGACTAAACTTTAAATATTCTCTTTAGAGTTGATGGTGTAGAGATTAGTAGAGTACAGTTTTTGGGTGTTATTATTGATGAGAAACTGACATGGAAACCTCATAAATTATTTAAGAATAAAAATAGCTAAATCTATTGCATTGCTTTACAAAGTAATGATAAAGCTCTGTATGTTATATAACATTAATTGTTCCACACTTGGTCTACTGTGTCGAGGAATGGGGTAAAGCATGTAAGGCTATTACAAATCCTGTTTTTGTTTTGCAGAAAAGAGCTATAAGAGTTATCACTTGAAAACATTACTATTATCCATCTAATATATTATTTTGTAAATTGAAATTATTGATATTTTATGATTTGGTTGATTATAACATTCTGTTAGTTATGTATAAGTCTCACCAAAAGACATTACGTTTAAACATCCAGATAAACTTTATTAAGAGAGAAAGCTGTTATAATCTTAAGGGGACAGAGATATTCATGAAACCTAAATTTGGAACCAGTTTGAAAGAACGTTGCACCTCAATCCGAGGAGTCAGATTGTGGAATAATCTGGAAGACGATGTTAAAAGTGACAAATCAATGTACGTGTTTAAGAGAAGGATAAAGTTGAATAGTTGAAAAAATATGTAACAGTATAATGTGTATTCATATAATTTGTTGTTCTAGAAAGGTTTGATGTTTTTGTTTTGCTAACTGAAGAATATTATTGTTTAAATTTGTGACCCATCATATCAAAATGAGGATTTAGTCAAATTTGGTCAAAATGACCTAATTGCATTTTCAGATTCTTGGCTTTAAAAGCTACATTTTGATACCTGGATCATTCTGATGTCATAATTAAATCCATATATATGACTTAACTTGTCTTGTTGGTTACAATAATACATAAATATTTGGTCTGAATCCTAATTTTATGTCATTTTAATGAGGAATTTTTGATGTCCTTATAAAGAGGAAACCTCAAATTTTATTTGAATATTGAGATTTCCCAGCTAAAAAGAAATAAAACTTTGCTAGCTCACAGGGAAAATCTTAAAAATTTAAAGCGTTTTTCCTCAAAATCAGTTTTTTGTTGCTACTGCTCAAAAAAGTGCTTCAAAATTATGTTTTATGATTATATTTCAGACAGTTCATTCAAATGATACATTAATAAGGCCTTCATTTATTATATTTTGACAAAATGCAATTTTTGTAAACATTTTAGTCAAAACACTWTATTTGCCTGTTTCTCCGTATAACACTTTTGGACTTAATCCTCGTCGATGTGATGATGGGTCACATTTATACTTGAGGAAGAAGGGGCAGATAAGATTTTTTTCTTCTCTCTGCCACCTTTCATGTCATTTTATTTGCATTTAATTTTTTATTGTACATAGAATTAAATTTTGTTTTTTGAAGAAAGTTTGAAATAAAAAAAACCTTATGTTGCGCTGAGTGTGTTTAAACTTTAGAATACTCTAAGCCAGCTATTTTGGTTCTGATCTCTCCTAATATCGAATAACATTGTGATGTTACTTCAATATTTTACCCCACATTTTAAAAAATGACCCTTGCGTTTCACCTCATGTGACCTAAAACCAGCTTCATGTGACCTGAAACCAAACTGTGGCCCACACAGAAAATACTGAAACTGCAGGAACACAGAAAAATAAACCACTGGTGTCACAGCTAACAATCGATGCACCTGATATAATCAGGACTGGCACAGATGCAGCTTTATGAATATAATTACAGTCCKACTCAAGCTTATTTTTAGCATATGATATGAATATTCCAAGTATGCTTCTAGTGCATTGTCCAGTTGTAATGTGCCATTTTATCAAAGCGTTGTCCTTCACTGATTAACACATAGAGCTTAGAGCAACCGGGTCAGCTATTATGTTTCCTTTTCCTTTAGTGCTGAAAGACACCCCCCGCCCCCCCGCACTCCCTTCTTGGCTTTAATGGGAGCAGATGGCACTGGCATCAGGTGTCTCTGTTAACCTCACCATGAGAAACAGTTGGGCAAACACAGGAAAATAAATTAAAAAAAGAAAACACATGTTTAACTATTACTTCTCTGTTAATGTTTATAAATGCATATTTGAGTGATACTGTGGACTGAAAGGGCAAACCACAAAATTTTAATAGAGGGAAGTGAACATAAAAAAAACAAATGCAGGAGCTGGAGATGGAGAAGTACRGCAGTGGGGATAAATACTGACATGYCAGATTACTAGATYCTCTGAAAGTTCAAAACAGTAAAAACAGGTAGAAGGAGTCCACAGAGGAAATGTAAAAAAAAAAAGCCTTTGAAGTCAAGGCTGATGTGGATCATAATTTGAGGTTGATAATGTCAACAATATGCTGGTAAATTTAATTTCTACAATGTCTGAAGTGGATTTAGTTTGATAGAAATAGAAACAAAATATAAAAAAGCTCAAATTTGTACAAAACAATTGTGCTAAAAATAACTTTAAAGTCCACACAACAAAAAAAGAAACTTTCCTAAACTAAATATTCATTACCAGCAAGTCTCCTTGTTTATTTTTCTTTTTTTAGTTCAATGAGTCCATTATGCAACGACGACATTGTGCTTTCTCTCCTCCCAAGAAGTCCAAGCTTTCACACTCTGCAAAGATGTTAAATACCCAACAGTTTGTGCCAAAATGAACAGAAAAAGACTTTGAACTAGAGGAAACAAAACTTGTAAGAGGATTTCTGTAGATGCACCCGTGGAAGGATCATAATGAATCTGATCACCTACTTAGTTTCTGCTAGTAAGCATGAGTTTTCTCCAGGTACTCTGGTTTCCTCTTCCACAGATCAAAAACATGCATTTTAGATTAATTAACTTGTTTGTCTAATTTGTCTATTTATGGTCCTGTGATGAACTTGGGACCTGCCCAGGATGGACCCCGCCTCTCGCACGGTGACTGCTGGTGACAGGCACCAGCTCCCTGCACCCAGACAGGAAGAGTGGGTGTAAAAATAAAAGTATGAATGGATTTTAATAAGGCCATTTTTAAACCAGAGTAATGTGACCACCATGCTGAATTAGTAGTCTTAATATTTAGTGTATAAAATATTGCAAATGTTTACTTTTTACTTCCAATATATTAGCAGTGTCTAGTCTAAAAAAAGGAGATTAAAAAGCACTTCTTCACATGTTTTTGCAAACACAATGTATTTTTCTTATTATATAAATAATTTTCTTAATTCTGAAAATTGTGGGTCAAAATATCCAAAACGTGTTTTAGAAATTGATCACAAGACAATTCTATATAAAAACAGAGGCAAATATTCTCTCTGTTATACACGATAAATCACACTTACACACATTAGAGGTGGAGTTTGACAAAACATTATTACATATTAATAAACATTAGATGATCTTTTCCCCCCTCTTTTGAGGAGCCTTTGTCAAGACATACTGACATTTATCAGCTGAATCTTGATCTGTTCAGCAAAACAGTCAAACTAGATAATAAATCACATGATAAGTATCGGTCCTGTCATATGACCAAAGAGATTCAATGCTTAAATGCACAAAACAAACTGATGCCTCAGCAAGTACTATTAGATCAGGGTTCCTTGTTTTCTGTTTCTGTTCTTCTTTTTCATCAGTTAAGGAAACTATACGTGATGCATGATTTCTTTGTTTATTTTAAAGCTCATGCTGGGCCAACAACTTCAATGCCCGTTCAAGGAAACACACACACAACATTTAAATGCACGGATTCAGCATTAGGGTCAGCTGAGCTTCCCATGTAAACAGCCAGGCRAATCGTCTGTGAAGGTTTCTCACCAAAGCAAAACGACATAACGTTGCTCTAAACACAAATGACCTCCGATATGTATGACAACACTTGTTTATAAGGCTGCTAAGTTATTTATTCAGTGCTAATACACCGGAGTGGCCATCGAGCAAGTATTTAGCTGAAAACAGACGCTGCCTGGCTCGCTTGCTAGCTAAAGCTAATCAGCATGCACAGGCTGTTGTCCAACTTATGTAAGCTGGTTTAGTTTTCCATTAAACTCACCAGCTCTGTGGGTTAGTCTCAGAATACTGAACTCAAATACCCACAGAATAAACAATTATATCTGTTGAGGTGAGTGGCTTTTAAAATTGTTACACAAGCCTAAATGTTAACGCATACACAGGCTAAACTAAATTGTTAGGTAGCCTCGGTTGCTAATTGAACAGAATATACGCCGACTTACACCTCCAGGATCCTGTCGCCCTTCGCTATCCCTGCTCGGTCTGCTGCTCCTCCGGGCAAAACAGCGCTGACGTGCTGGAGAGGAGCGTACAGTTCCCCGTTGATGCTCCGAAGCTGTCCCCCTTCGCTGACCTGACCGCGAACATTGAAACCATAGCCAGACTCCGACTTGACGATGCGAACTATCCGCGGACCTGACGTTACCGTCGCAGCGTTCTGGCCCGCGGTGCCCGCCGTAGACGAACCCACAACCGGACCGTTGCGGAATGCCGTGGGGAGACCTGGCCGAGTTTCTTCGTCTCCAACATCCGCCATCTTTTTTCTTAACAGGCGCTAGCCCCCTCCCGCAGTCGGTGTTTTCGAGCAAATTCAAAATAACACTTGGGGTCTGTCCCTCTTGTTACGCTAGCTCGAACAGACAGACTCTGTTGATAATGACCCGCCCCTCGACTACGTCACGAGTCACGGCCATTCAACGTGACCAGCGGAAGGGTTGGCAAGCCAATGTGTCATTTATTTGCATCCCCATTTGTCAGAAGTGTCTTGGGGGAAATAAAAATCTAAATACTTTCAGAGTTGTAAAGTAACTAAGTACAAATACTTCTTTACTGTACTTAAGTATAATTTTTGGGTATCTGTGCTTTACTTGAGTAATTATTTTTCAGAGTACTTTTTACTTCTACTTCTTACTTTTTCACACATTTAGTACTCCTTACATTTTTTTTAAAAGCAAGAAGTAGAAAGTTGTTATTTTTATTTCTTTTTTTGTTTGTTTTTATTCCAGCTAGTTATTATAAAAATTAATCAATTTAAACTGTGCCTCATAGGTAGAATGAATTTAATTGTGGTTGAGAAGTATAKATATATAAAACTCTGATACCGTATTATTTTGTACACAAACAAATCATGTCACACTCCAGCAGGACATGATCATTCAAATAATAGGACTGTACTTAAGAAGTATTTGTATTTCATGAATTATATTATTGCATTTGGCTGCAGCCCTTGGATAGATTTTCATTTTGGAGAAAAGGTTTGGGCTCCCTTGATATATGTTTATAAACTGAAACAACTAGACTAGTGCATCTTAAATTTACCATAAATTAATTATTTTAACACGATATAGTAATTTCTGCATTTTTGTGGGAGGTCACCTCCTGAAAAATGTCATAACAGAAAATCTAGCAGCTCATTTTAAATCAATACTTTTACTTTTAACACTTAAGTACAAAAAATATCAGATACTTTAAGACTTTTACTTAAGTAATATTCCTAAAGGAGACTTAAACTTTTACCAAAGTAATTTTTTGGTAAAATACTTGTACTTTTACACAAGTATAACTTTATGGTACTTTATACAACACTGAATACTTTAAATATAGTTTCAAATCTTCAAAAGCACTTTTTGAAGAATGATTAAGAAGACAATGTATAAAAAACATTCAAATAAAGTTTTTAATTATTGCCTTTTTATTCTTGGGCAGTGCTGTTCCAATTAACATGAAACATGTGATTTTTGACCTGGAACAACTAAAAAGGTTTGAATGACGGATTCTTTGCTTCAGCTTGTCTTGCAATGTATTAGTTTTTTTGAAGCCAATTTACCACAAAACACTGGTAATAATGTGCTTTACTGTGCATAAAAAATAGATTACATTAAGACAAAGCTTTAATTTGTTTCATAGCGCAATGTATTCAGGATTTGATTTTTAGGTTTTCTAAAARGATTAATTTGAACTTTTTTAACCATTTTTTAAGATCAGCTTCATTTTTGTCATGTAGCTTATTTGAAGTTTTTTGAAGGAATCTGTCCGAAAACTAAACAACTTGTTGAAATAAAAACCTTCAGTTCTCAGGCTTCAGGGCTTGTGAATTTCCTAATAAATGCATTCTGTTTAAATATTGTTTTTAATTCTTATTGTTGCCCCAGTGGCAGTAATTGAACAGTTTTCATCAAAGTCTATATTTTACTGATGGACAGCACAACTCTTGCACATGGGAAACAGGGATCTTTGGTGCGTTACAAGATCATCACATGTTAAAACATTGGTACTTGAAGGCATAGTAGACCAATAATCTCACAAAACCCTGTTGTTTTCATGCCAAAAAAAAAAACACAAAGTAATTAATTATAGTGTTTAAAAAGGGAAACGTTTATTTAATTTTGCAMGACAAGATAATTTCTGGGAATTCAGTCTTCTTTGACAGAAAGGTAGCTCTTACAGTTGGCCTCAGGGTGGCGCTGGGATGCTTTTATTTTTTACTAATGAAGTATTCATGACACATCTGAGTGACGCAGCACACCAGGTTGACAAACTCACTGAAGTCCACGCTGTTGCTCTTGTTTGTATCTAGGTCCTTGAAGATGCGGTCGATTGCCGCCTTGTCGTTGGCTTTCTGCAGAAAACAAACACATTAGCCTGATCATAGTCGGAGAAAACGTTTGAAAGGTTTGCAGAACTGTGGACTGGTTGATATTTGCATGGATCCAGATTCAGGACTGAYAAAGGCTGAGGTCTAAGGTCACTTACACACAGCAGATCTCCAAATTCAGTCTGCAGAAGCTCTTTCAGCTCCTCCTTATTCAGAGTGTCCTGGTCTCCCTCCTTGCTTGCGTATTTTGTGAATGCGGTGATGAGGAGGGCCATGGCCTTCTGGATGTCAGACATGATGGCGGCTAATCTAAGAGAACAGGAAAGAAATATAACAAAATAAAGATAARACAAACATAAAGTGAAATCTGTGCAAAAAAGTCCTCTTGTCTAAAAAATGCAAAAATTTTAGCAAATTTCTTCTTGTTTCAGCACAGTCAATACTCAAAATCAAGCTGAATTACTATTGCAGATAAATTATGAATAAATTTGTTTTTTATTAATGGCCATCATTTAGCTGGAGGTGGTTACGAGGGAAGTTATAGAACATGTGAGGAGTTCAGACACAAAACTGCCTACACATTTCTGTTTGTTTTTCTTCTAGTTTTCCATTTAGCAGTTTAAAAATAACCCCAGGGTTTCCACCTGGGCCCCTTCCCTCCTTCACTCCGTAGGGTCTCTAAAGCGCCGTCATTGCAGTGARGCGGGACATCGTTATGGAAACAGGTATCTCACATCAACAGGTGCAGGTAAAGAAAGAGATCCTGAATGAACCTTTATTTATGATTTCAGTTTGTTCTCATTGAAAAATCATAAACTGTTCAATAAATAAACTGTTTTGTAGTTTATTATCTCCACTCCGAGTCCATAAAAGTGACAGAAGCGGTTGTTGTGACTCAGATGCTGGTTCCTCCCTGGAGCTTGGTTAYCAGAGGAAACTGTGGTGCCAGAGGGGTCGTAAACAAATGAGAATTGTGGAGGAAGGGAGAGAGCGCAGAACCAGAAACTACGGTGCTGCATGTTTCCACCTTTAACTGTCTCAGCGCTTTATAATATGATTACAAGAAATCCCTATAAACTCTWTATAATAAGTTAAGAAGTGTGGTATTATTGTGTGGAACTGGGTAAATGTGGTCTAAAGAACTGGTCAATATTGCATTTATTACTTTACAGCTCTCATCTCAAAAATGTCCTTAGTATCGTTAAACCGCGGGAATAAAAAATGTCTAAAATGAGACACTATTTAAAAAGCTTCCATCAGATATTCGTCATTAAAATCAGACGAATAAAACATCATTTTAAAGTTATTTTACTCACCAAAGGTTGTGATGTCAGACGGGTAACAATCAGTTCCTGAGGAGTGATGGAGAGGCGGATGTAAGGGATGCTTTATATCTTGCCCCACCCTGAATCTCTGCCTCTCCTCCTCCCTCTCCATTATTCTTTTGATCCTTTAATCTTTTGTCATTTCCCCCCTCATAGTTGCATTTAAGAATAAATTGCAAACAATAGATAAGTCAACTTTTCTTTGGGTTTGAATTCAACTTTATTAACTATCATATCTTTAACTCTTGTTCTGCAGGTTCATAAAAATAATTTCACTGTTTATTTTGATGCACCTTTATACTAATGCTTTTAATTTTGTATAACCTCTTAAAATTATTTAGTCAAGAGCCTCATAACTTTCAAGAACTTTGATAATTAAAGATTTTGCACATGCAAATTTAATCATTACTCAATGTTATTGTGCATGTTATTGATGTTTGTATGTTGCAACAAAGAAATGATTTGCTTTAAAATGCTCAATGCGCTCTTTCTCTTCACGTTTTAGTCACAGAACGCTCGTTATTGACTTGTTGGAGAGGCACYTGAGCCTAACATTGGGCTGACTGACTCACTGTGTGCAGATTGTTAACGTACCCAAGTGGCTCCCCTCTTCCTTACAAATTTAGTGAGGTCAGAAAACAAAAGCGCTGCTGCAACTTGTTTGTTTCTTTNTGCCATAACTCAAATGCATGTATGACAGTTGTACTTTTGTTAAATGAATGCAAAACATTTGAAGCAAACAAAATTAAACAATTACTTTAGAGAGCACTCACTCAAATGCATGTATGACAGTCACAATCTTGTTTAATAAACATGATTACAAAATATTTGAAGCAAACAAAAAAATCACACTTACTGGTACTTACTTTGCACAATGAAGTGCAACTTCATGAGTCCTGACTCCTGCATGGTTGTGGGTCTTGTAAAAAAAAATCGCTGTTGCGACTTGAATGTACATCTCATATTTAGCTTTGTGCAACGTGTTGTAGTGGCTTGAACTTGTATAGTGCTTTATCAAACCACATGGGGACCACAAAGCGCTTTACACTATAGTCATTCACGCATTCACACACATATTCTCACTGATGACAGTAAGCTACAATGTAGCCACAGCTACCCTGGGGAATACTGACAGAGGCTGCCATGCACCGGCGCCACCGGACCCTCTGACCACCATCACTAGGCAAGGCGGGTGTTTTGCCCAAGGACACAACAACTGAGATGGCTGGAACGGGGGATCTAACTGGCAACAGGACGACACCCCCTAACCAGTCCACCAAGTCGGTCAGACAAAGGTTTGCCTTCTGTGAACTACTCTGTGTTAGCCTGGCCTTTGCCTTCCTACGCAGTTCCACTCAATTCGCGTTTCCCTTCACTGCTCCATCTGGCATTTCTCCCATAGACAAGGATTTCTTTGGGAGCATTTTATTTGGGCCAATCAGAAAACAGAAGGCGGAGTTTTGAACGATGTCGATTTTCTGCGCAGTGTCTGCTAGTTAGTTTAGCATACGGCAGTGGAGGAAGTGAATGAAGCCAGTCCATAAAGGACTTCCAAATTAAATTGAATTTGTCTGACAAAGCAGCAGCTCTCATTTACAGTCGTCTCGTTTGGCTCGGTACTTCTCTTCTCTCAGTAGGGTTGTTTTCAGCGCATGCAATTGCCGTTTAGCTTCTTAGCTTAGCCTCCTTCACAGTGGAGCTGGCACACATACGTCGCGGCCAACCGAACCAATCATTTTAAACTTCAACAGAGGCCACGCCTCCAGCAAGAAGTGAAGGACAAGGGGCTGATTTAACCAGGCTAACTCTGTGTCTACCTTCCAAAATATGTATTAATTTTATTTCACTTAAAAAACACTCAAAGCAGCTCGTAGACTAAATTCTAAATTTAACATTTGAAGTTACATTTTTAAAGTGGAGGGAGGGTCACCTGTGGGCCAGATATGGCCTGCGGGCCACCAGTTGCACATCCCTGTACAAAAAACCTCATAGTTTTGAGTATTTCATGCAAAAAGCTGAGTATTAATTGTGAGTAAATGTTTCAGAAAGGAACTTGATTAAATATTTACAGTACGTAATGCTGATTAATAAAAACTTTCTGTTACATTTCACTTTCTAACACAAGGTTTAACGCGCTGATTCAAATCAACCTTATTAGTAAAATAACTTTATTTATCATGTCAAACTTACAATAGTTTGATGTGCTGTAACTGATACCAGCAGGTATGTTCCAGCAGAGGGGGGGGCTTCTCTTTTCCAGGTGTGGTATGAACGTCTGAATGTTTGTTAATCCTCAAGCTCACACAAACACACACCCTGAGGAGGAATGCCTGGAGTGACAGTGGAACTGAGAGTGGAGGATTCCTTTATTAGACGGAGCCTGAGGCAAACGGGTCATGATCTTGAAGGAGGCCTTTGAGCTCTGAGGAAAAAAACTGAACTTCCTTGTTACTTTATTATTATTATTATTATTATTATTTTGGAGGTTCTGATAAATACAGATTTTTTTCTATTTTCATACATAAGCACAGAGCATGCACTGTGCATTTCTACACATTTGAAATCATTACTATTTATGTTACATTTACTCTTTTTACACCAGAACTTTTGTCTAAATCCTCACATGACACAGGAACAGTGAACAAAGCTGGATTTCCTGTCTCTACGCTCAGCTGCAGGTCACATGGGCGTGGTGCTTCTGTAAACACACATTCACACACAGTCAGAGCACGGTAACCTAGTAACGCCAGTGTTTGCTCTGTTACCATGAACACCAGTAGACCCAAAACCCAAATCCCTCCCCACAGTGATGTAAGACATTTCCTTTCTGAGTTTAGTCTCACAGGCGGAAAGTCTCCGTTCTGCAAACACAGGGACTGGCACAGTATTTATCCTTCAAGATGATATTCTGCACATCTGTGAATACAGAACTGAATCGATTTCTTGTAAAATAATAATAAAATAAAAAGATTTATTTAAGTAAGTCAGAAGGGTGGGAAGCAGAGGAGTTGCCCTTCTCTTCTAACAAGTGTGAAGCAACTTTTACCAGACATGCATCACAATGATAAGATTTTTGTGAGGAAGTAACCAGTTCTGTACACCCTGTTCCTCGTCTACAGTGTGCCAAAAGGTGTGACTGAAGAAATCGAAGGCCTAGTTTTAGTTACAGGAATGCATGTCTCCCGCTGACAAGGAACAGAGCTGAACTCTGTGTCTGTAAAGTCAGCATTAATATGAAATTTACACCCATTTATTTCTGTGTAGTATTGAAATGCTCAGCCACTTCCACACGAAATTAGAATTTAATGTGTATTTTTTTATTTTATAGCTATTTTTGTGTTTTCTAATGTTAGTTGGCTGTGGTCTGTGAGTGTCAAGTGGCTTCTGAGATAATTTACCAACAATAGCTAATAGCTAAGTTAGCACTCAGAGTATTTGTTGAGGATGACTCTCAGCTACTACCATCACCAGTAATGCAACCAGGGGCGGTTCTAGGGGCGGGGCCACAGAGGCATTGACCCCTGCTGAAATTTGATCGGCCCCCTGAAGTGCCCCTGTCCTGTCATTAATCTGTACTTTGCCCAAGAGTGATGATGCTGGATGCAGTTCTATGTCTAAACACTAGAGGCACTAATGAACCAAATAGAAACGTCCAGCATGAATCAAACTGACAGGTCTTTTTCTTTTCTTAAAGTTTGAACAATCCTGCAGAAAAAGCCTTTCAACTCACATGCTGTGCGTTTTAGAGGATTTTATCTATGTACTGTAAAATGCATGTAAAACTCGTAAGGAGAATTTAATGCAAGCTGTTTTAAATTTACATTACAAGTGTTTAAAAGTGTGACTAGTAAAATATACAGTATATAATAAATAATACTACACCAAAAACAGCGATTTGTGTGCAAGGATGCTGAGCAAATACTTGGCCCCTCTATGAATATTGTGGCCCCTTACTCAGAAAAATCTTAGATCCACCAGTGAATGCAACGACAAGTCACTGCAGCTAAACTCTGTTAAACTTTGTTGAATTCAAAGAGCTATCTGCAACAGGTAAGATATTAATTGCTCCTAATCATCCCACTTTAAAAGAAACCACTGTCTCTTTAAGGCAGAGTTGCAACATGTGCTGAGAGATAAACGCTCACAGAGGGGTGTGTTTGTGCCTGGAACATTCAGCAGATTCCTCACGGCGGCGATAAGCAGGATTTTATGAAAAGGGAAAAGCAAAGTTCACCTGTATTTCTTGCTCAGCGAGGCAGGAATATAGATGGGAGTTGCACGATCACGCCTATTTTCATGGCTCGCTTCCCGAGGGAGTGATCTTGGCGGGGAGGGGGGTCAAAGGGCAATACCGTTCTAATGATTAAAGCAACAGCTCAGGGTGGTTTTAAAGGCAAACCATGTGAAACGTCTTGATTGAAAGCAACACACACACGAGGTTTAAAATTATTCACGATTTAATCAACAAAACACTTTATTTTTTACAAAAGCTGACTCTTCTCTTAAATTTTTTCATCATTTTCCAGTTTTCTTCATGTGCGCCGTATAGCACTGCTCACAGGCAATGGACAGTCCAACAACCAGAGCAACAAACTCCTCAAAGTTCACCAGGCCGTCACCATTGGCGTCCAGGTCCTTCATGATCTTGTCCACGGCAGCTGGGTCCTTCTGAGACTGCGGAGGACAAAAAAACAAAACAAACAAAAAAAAAAAAAAACAAGGGGGTGAAAATGGTGCATCAGTAAGTGATAAAACAATACGGAGATGAGTCAAACGTCCTTCCGCACCTTCAGGAAGTTGGACAGCTCGCACTCCATCAGCGTTCGGAGCTGTTTGCGGTTCAGAGAAGCGTTGTTGGCGTAACGGTGGAACACCTTGATGAGTGTTTCCATGCAATTCTCCAGATCTGAAGGCATGACTGCTAGGATGGGTTTAGGCTGAAAAAAAAAAAAATCAAACAAAAACAGAAAAAACTTTATGTGGACCCTGAAAAGTTTAGTTTTATGTCACAGTTTTTAAATGAKGTTCTGTTTTTTAATCTTAGACTAATAATAAAAAACACTGACAAGAGGCTCTCTGATGAGAGTTTAAAAACCTCATCTGAGCTCAGATTGTGAACCAAACTGAGTTTCTCTCCAATAAACAAATAGGCCTTGCTCACTCTCCCACAAATGAGTAATCCTCATAAACACTTATGTCATGTCAGGTATGTTATTATGTCGTTTGAGACAAAGATAAGAGTAATTGTCAGCTCTAAAAAAAAAAAAACCCAAAGCATTCCTGCAACCCAAACCCRATGAAAGCTGTTGCTTTGTTGTGGCAACAGTTAAAAAAGGAGAAGTTTTGCCTGAGAGGCAGTGGAAAACTTGAGAAACGAGAGGCCCCAAATGGTGGGATTCAAGGCGAGCAGCGGAACACGTGTGTTCCTGCCCACAGTCCAGCCACACCCTGAAATTACCCCACAGTGCACGGTGGAAAAAGTTAAAAAAATTGCCCAATCTTTAAAATACTGACTTTGTAATTCTTGAAAAGTTAGTTTAAAGCCTTAAAAGTTGTTAATCTCAAAATGAGAACTGAATGAAAGACAATAGATTGGCTTCACCTTGTGAAATAAAGGTTCAAAAGTAGTGCTGGAGAGCAGAAAATAAGTTTTTCTGTAGCAAATTTAGCATTAACAAGTTGAGTAGAACGACAGGCACCAKATAAAAGCAGTTAATCCGAAGCAATCCCTGGGGAATCCTGACAGAACCACAGGTGTGGAACCGTTAGTTCTTACCGAGCAGAGCTGAGACGGGTCCGGCAGAGGAGAGCAGAAAGAGTGCAGGGGTGTGAGGGAAGAACAGCCGAGGTTTTATACTGAGGCACCGCCCAGCTGCTACTGCTGCTGCTGCTGCTGCTGCTGCTGTGAGTCAGGCTCACACGGACCAACTGGACCCAACCACCATCACAGACAGCCAGGGGCGGCAACCTCAGCAGAATCCTGAAGTGAAGTTTGTCATTTAGGAGGAACTCATAATTACCTCAAAAGACTCTGTCATCGCCTGCAGGCTAGGATGGAACAATAAAGTTTATCCCTGTGTGTTTTCTGTACCGTTAGCAAAATATCTTATGAACAAAWGAATGGATATAAKTGAAACTTTCAGAACATAATCATTGGGCTGACCTCTTCAGCTTATTAACGTTTGAACTCAACCCAATTAAAAAGGGGGAAAGACAAAAACGGCCACAACTTAGACAGTTATCAGATATGAAGCTAATTTGATGTGGTAGTAGCTGAGCATCATCCTCAACYTTTGAYCGTGACATCTTTGCTTGAAACTTAGGAGTCAGTCTTGTTTGCCTGTTAGCAAAACATCACCGGAGACAGATTTTAATGAAACWCCCAGAAAGTTTTATATTTGCTCTACATCTGCAACWGATTAACTTTTYGAGRCAACCCAKTTCAAGATGGCTGCCACAACTAACTGACATTAGCCAACATATAAATAGCTTTAACACGGTTAAATTTACAGATATTAAGCTAAAATTTGGTCTTGTAATAGCTGACAAACACAACACYTAAGATCATGTGAAATGCTGTAAAAAATCAAATGAGAAATGTTTGACCAAATGACTATAACTATCATATCACTATCATAACAAAGTCTAAAACTCTAATAGGCCTTTATTTTAAGAACGTTATTTTTTAAGGTCCACTTAAAAGTTCCTTTTATTCAGCTGACTGCTTCGCAATCTTAATGATTTCTTCTTTAAGACAAGAGGACTCCTCTACTTGCTGAGTGACACAAMTAGAAAGAGATAACAGGCCAGAGACTTATCACACAAAAAAACAAACAATTGACAGAAAAACACATCAGGATTGAAGATTAGTCTTATTTAAATGAATCAATTGTTTTTTTTTAAAAGCAGAACAAAATAGCTTGCAATCAGAAGATATCGACTACAGTCACGTGACAACACACCCAAAGTGTCATCATGAAGCAAGTTTTTTGTGAGAAAACGTGAAATGAGATTGGTGTGCCTCCTTGTGTTAAAAATATGTCAATACAAGATTTTACCTGGAACAAGTGAAAGTATGCTATTGTTACACACAACCTGAACAGGGTTTCATTAAGAGTTTTGTGGTTGTCAGAATTTTTGAACAGCTAAGGCACAATCAGATGAAACGTTAAAAAAACAAAAAACAAAAAACTTTAAAGGTTTCCCAAAAACTTCCAAGAACATTAACTTGAGCTGCCAGTAATAGAAAATTAATAATTTAAAGCACACAATACCAACTAAAGCTTAATTATCATCTCTAATTATTCAAATAGTTGAAATTTATTCAGCTTTTCTGCATTTTCCACTTGGATTCATTGAAATGAAGTGACTTAAAATGAAAATAATGCATGGTAAAATGAAAGTTAAACATTCAGGAAATGCAAGTTTTAACAAAACAACAACAAAATAAACCTCCGCTGTGTTGTTTTCTTTCATTTGTGGTCATTTTCCCCCAAAGTTTTTGCAGTATTTTTGTATTATTACATGTCTCTCCTGTAGTCAGGGAACACGACTTGGAAAAGTCAATTCTGCGCCCTCATATGGTGAAGTTATGTATTACAAATTCCCTCAATGCAACATAAAAAATACATTTATTCATTAATCTAACCAACAATTTTCTTTACGAGATTTACCAGCAGGGCTGCAGAGGAGCTGGTGTTTATCTCCAGGGGTCCCTGTGTGAGAAGCAGGGTACYTATTGAACAGGTTAAATTAAACTGCATCACCTCACATCTACTGAGTGTTGTGTAAATTACTAAAGCTTTAAATGACACTGTAACATAATGAACTTTATAGAGGAGAATTAGGTGTCTAGTAAATTATGGATCAATGCTTTATTCAAAAATGTGAAACTAACGAGAAAAAGCAGTTATTCAGGTACCTCGTAATCCTAAACCTAAATCATACGACTTTAAGCCACTCAAAAGTGCCATATGTTATTTATGACATGCAGTCAGTTCACACAACCATCTTCAGCAAACACAACCTTGTCTTTCCAGTTCGTTTGCCAGAAAGCAATAAAAAACAATTCATGCAAAAATGACTGAGGCAAAAGTTTTTATTTTCCTTCYTATGAAACCAAGTACTACAGAAGGCAAAGTATTCGTTGAACTCGGTGATGTTTTTGTTATTGATGTTTACTTTTGGCGCGGTTCATGGTTTCTTCAAGGGCTTTGTAGTTGGAGCAGGCAAACGAGCAAACCAGCATGGCGAACTCCTTGAATTCCAGTTTCCCGTCCTTGTTAATGTCTACAGTCTTGAAAAGCTGTTCTCCGACACTTGCCTTAATGATAAAGAACACAAACATAAATGCATTTGAATTGAACAAAAACAACTTTGAAGTTATTTTGTATAAAAAAAGAAAAAAGGTCAAATGTTTTCTCACCGAGTCAAATGAAGGCATCTGCTCTTTCAGGCATTTGCAAAAAGTGTCTTTGCTCACTTTTCCATCTTCATCTTGAAACTGCACAAAGGCACACATCATGCTACCTACTGACAGTTCCAGAGGACTTAAGCCTTCCATTTTATGGATTTGGAGCAGATCTGGTCACAAGGTAAAAACAGAAAAAACNATAACTAGAACAAATTTTTTTGTATCTTGTCAATACATTTTTACATACCAGACAAATGGTAGATGGAGTTTTCTGAAGTAGGTACCTAAAATTTAAATATGTGCACAAAAGCAACATTTTTAACAGAAAAAAAAACTGCAGAAAAACTAAACAGGGACCCGTTTTTCTCCTTACCTGGATCTGTAGATGAGTCCAAAGTGTGAGCTCTAATTTGTTGGAAGAGTTTAAATATCTAAAAAAAATCTAAAAAAATTCTAAAAAAAATCTAAAAATGAGGTTTGGAACGCCCTCCCAAACCTCATCACACCCTCTTCACATTTCTGGTTCAGCAGGTAAATCAAGTAAGTTTCATAAATACAAACTAAACATATCTAAAAAATGTGCTTTTCTATTGATTTGTAACTTCACATATTTTATATGATGCAGCTTTTAAGTTCAAGTTTATTCATTTACAGTATAAAGCACCCTTCATACTAAAAACAGCTCAAGGTGCTGTACAAAATTATGCACAATAAACAAACCCATAAAAAACAGCAACAACAATAACAACAATACAATAAAAACAATCATAAAAATGTAATGATCAGGAAAAGTACAGTTCAAGGAATACATTTAAAAAGATGTGTCTTAAGCCTGCTCTTAAAGATTGCAACACTCTCTGCAGCCCTCACATTTTCAGGCAGACCGTTCCACAGACGAGGGCCATAGTACTGAAAAGAAGCCTCTCTGTATGTGTGTGTTCTGACTCTTGGAACTGTTAATAGTCCAYTGCCAGAGCATCTTAGGGTTCGTGGCGGTTCATAGGGTATTAACAGTTCAGCCAGATAAGATGGRGCAAGCCCATTAAGACATTTAAAAACCAGTAAAAGAACCTTAAAATCAATTCTAAGATGTACAGGGAGCTAATGCAATGATTTTAAAACAGGTGCAATATGAGCCTGCCTTCTGGTCTTGGTTAGCACACGAGCAGTTAAGTTTTGCAACAGCTGCTGACTAGACAGATTTTTCTTTGGAAGACCAGAAAGCAGTGTGTTACAGTAGTCTAAACGACTAGAAATGAAAGCATGTATCAAAAGCTCAGGATTGGCCAAGGACAGAAGTGGGCGGGCTCTGGCTATATTTTTCAAATGATAAAAACCTGTTTTAACTGTCTGTTTAAAATGTGGAATAAAAGTAAGCTCAGAATCAAAAAGAACCCCCAGATTTCTGACTTGTTTGGAAGGATAAAAAGACGCAGTTTGTAATTTTAAAATTATCTTTTCATTTTGATCCTCCAGTCCAATAATTAGAACTTAAGTTTTATCCTGATTAAGTTGGGGAAAGTTCTGAGCCATCCATGTCTTTATGTCAGAAATACATTTAAGAAGTACAGCAATTGGATGGGGGTCATCACGAGACATGGAAATATATAGCTGCGTGTCATCAGCATAACTGTGGAAGCTTATTCCATGGCTCCTGATGATCCCGCCCAGTGGCAGCATATACAGATTAAAAAGTAAGGGACCTATGATAGACCCTTGGGGGACACCATAGTTGACCTCATGGATCTTATAGGAGCAAGTATTCATATTTACTAAAAAAAAGATCTATCTAAAAGGTAGGAGCTGAACCACTGCAGAGCAGTACCTGAAAGGCCAACCAAATGTTTTAGTCTATTTAAAAGTATTTGATGATCAACTGTATCAAACGCTGCACTCAGGTCCAATTACCCTTAGGTTTCTCCAGTTTCTGAGAAATTGTGCAGAAGTTTTGGGAAAAACCCCTCAGGGTTCTTWTGCAATGATGATTGGACTGTTTAGCTGGTTTAGGGTGTGACACTGAAGAATTAGAAGAAAAAAAAAGTCAGGTTAGCATGTCGGTAAACACACAAAACCTTCAGCAGTAGATTTCCTCATCAGGGGGGAAAAACACTGAAACTTAACATGACTAAAAGAAGCTGTAATTTTGTTTAGAACTTAATAAAAACTGTTTCATTTAGCATGCTGTAAAATGTGATTAAATATCAAATGCTTTGTTTTGTAATTAAAGTGTTAAAACCCTAAAAGAAATAAATGCATTCATGTTCACATTGCACCCCTGCAAGGAGAAAATCATGAACTTCGCTGGTTCTGAACTTTTCACTTTTAGATTTCTGCAGAGAGACAATGTCATAAACATTTTAAATATAATTAATAAATAAAAGCCTTTATGTCGAAGGAAAGCTGTTTGCTATGTGCTCTAGTTTTAAACGTTGTGCTCAAATTTGGAAAACAACATTAAATATTCCAAAATGCAACACTTGAGAGTTTCAACCACTAGTTTTAGCTGAGTAAAATGTTTGAGTTGTATTTTTGCACTGGTTAAATGCTAATTAATGGTGGCCACATTGAATTGGATCAACTCCCGCAGTTATTCACTAGATGTAGGCACCACTAACTTTCACAGTACTTTTACTTGGGTAGTTTCTGCTCCTACACCCACCTTCACCTGTTTCTGTCATGATTGGTGTTTTCTGCTGCAACCTTGATTGGTGTTCCTGAGGCTCATCCTCTGCAGCTGTGGCTGGTTTCCTCTGATGGGRTTCACTGGTATTTCAGTCTTGGTTCAGATCTTTGCTGGAGCATCACACCTTTTTGGTTCTACAGCCTTTTAGTTATATTTCTYGACTTATTAAGTTACTTAGCTTTGCCTTGTGATTTTTTTTTTTGCCTCAGGATTTTTARCTCTGACATCCAGTGCCTGCCCCACCTCAAGGATTGTTTGAATACTCACCTGGAAACACCTCTCACTGGACTCTTGGACGTCACCCCTCTCAGATGAACCTGGTTTTCTTCAGTAGCCTACCTCCTCCATGTCTTTCGCCTCTTGGAAATCTGTAATCCTGGAGGATCTCTCCACCAGTTTGCCACTCACCTTGTCCTTCCCCGCTCTTGCAGATCTGGATTTTCTCCCGTTCCTGTGCACAATAATCTCACCTGTAAATAAATATCACTTACCTTTTATCCTGCCTCAAGTCTGGTTTCTGGTTCCGCTCATTTAGACACTTCCTGGTTCATGACAGTTTCCTGTTAGCATGAAGCCACCTACCCCCAATCTTCTCATCAGCCTCAGTCTTACAGCCCTTCTCCACGGTGTGCCTTTGAGAGATTCTCATCGATTCAGCGTCCACTAACTMTGTCTCCATCCAACTATGTTTTTGAATCCTCCTCAAATAGCGGGCGTCCACTTTTACCTGCACTTATTGAAGGTGCTGCAACAAATRATGTAAAAGAGTCAGACTATAAGTGATAAAACCACAACTGCCTGCTAATCTTTCTCCCACAAGGAGCTTCAGTGTAGTCTTCACTCTATCTGTGACATTGTGGTCCCCATGCCCAGTCTGGCTCTCCTCTGTGATCCCTTGAGAAGTTTGTTTTGCTGCCACGCCAGCGTTCTTGTTGGACACCCCCCCATTTAATCTTTAAATTTTATTCTCTCTTCAAACTTGCCACTTTCATTAAAATCTCTGGTTCATGAGATATTTTGCTAACAGACAGAGTTGAGTTTAAACAGCTAGTGAAAGGACTGTGCACAGGTTTTAAACATTTGTTTTTCTGATTTTTTTCTGCAATGCAAGACTTTAAAAACACAAGCTTTTATTCACTATTTTGTTCCAAATTCATGATATTTATCATATTTTCTTGCTGGATAATACCTCAGCTGGATGTAAAATAATCGTTGATCCACGAGGAAAAGATGGGCAGGAACCAAACAAATAACAGATTTATTTATTTGATTTTTTTTCCTGCTCACCACATCATTTAAAGGCATCCGGTGCGGAGTGGGAGGAGCTGAGGGAGTCTGAGGATTTCAGCCACAGGCATCTGTTAATATTCAGCGTAGATGTAAATATAGAAATACTTTTATTTACAAAATCTAAAAAAACAAAACAAAATTTTCCTCCATCTGAGCGCATCACGTGGTGACGTTCATCAGCGGGTTGATTCTTCGTGCTCATCAAAGCAGAGCCTGAAAACCAGAAAAGAAAAAGAAAAAAAACCGCAGGAAAATAACCAACCAATCGATCATTTTCTAACATCCGGACGGATAAATTGATACGTGCTCGTGTGATTAAGATGCACCACAGGTTTTGTGGTCTGACTCGAGTTATATTCAGATGATGAAAACGGGGGGCAGCTTTTTTTACGGGGCAGACATGGATGTGAAATCCGCCTCGTCCGCCATGGAAGCGTTGGTTCGGATCAGCGTGAGTATTTCTTTAAATAAACGTTTTGTATTCTCACTATAAGAGCATGAAATCATTTCGGGTGAAGCTTTTTTGAATTTGTATGGATCTGTGTGGAAAGCACTGGGAAAAATAGGTTTGTGTCGCTTTTTTTTTTTTGGAATAAAAGAAAATGGTTAAAATGAACTCGGCGGGGGGTTAAGTATGTGCTAAGGGTCGTTATTTTGAGAGGGAATGGAAAGGCCTCAGGTCTCTTTTTGCGGTGATGTAGATAAATATAAAATGGTGAAACAGGCTGTTTTCGGGCGCATTGGATGCTCGTTTCCATGGAGACCGCGGATGCAAGCCTCCAGGTCGCTGCTGAGAGAAAAAAAAGGAGGAACTGCTTGGATAGGGTTCTCAAAAACAATGATGGGATGTTAAAAAAGAAAAAAAATAAATAAAATAAATTAATTAATCTTAGAGAAAGTGCAGAGCTGCATCTTTTCAGGCCGTCCAATCAGAGCGCGCCTTCCACTAGAGCTCATCTTACACCTCCTGGCGTTGCAACGCCTCAGACCCCTCCCCTCTTTCTCAGTTGCTGTCCTCATGTGGGATATATAGTCCACTACCATGGCGCCTAGGTTCCAGGTGAAGGTAAGGATGCGCCTGTTTGATGCCGTCACCGGCAAACGCAGCATCCATTTAGGGGTGGATGCAGAGAGCCAGAGCTCGCAGGCTGCAGAACTAACAAGAGCCTGGATTTTTTTAGGACGAGCTGCAGGAGCAGGAGGGAGACAGGCCGGAGTTGACATTGGAGAATGACCCAAAGAGACTGACAGAAATAGGTTGCTGGAATGTGATGTAGCTGCAGCGAAGATGTCGAGTTTTAGAAAAGAAGCAGGAGCTGAGCTTCATCGGCCTGCGTTATATTTATATTAATTTTGTCCTGCATCACGTGACGCACAGCAGTGAGAAAATTCACAATCACAAGACACAAGTCAGCTCATCTCCTCTCTGCTTGAAGTTGATTCGTAGTGAGCGCGATGAGAGCGGCACATCCTGCAACAGCTTGGTGTGTCAAGGGCACCCATCRTGAAGGGCTGACGAATGGAGTATTTAAAAATAAAACCATGTTAGAATCATTTTTTCATGTCATGTAAAAGCTCTGCAGGAGTGGGTGAAGTCAGGTTTTTGAGGCAGCGTGGTCTTGTTTTGTTAAACGGAGTGCAAAACATGCAAATATATTTAGATTTATAGTGATGCATTGATGTTTTTGACTTCATTTGTATGTAAATCTGAGCCACATCTCACTTTACGTCCTGTTGTAATCGATGCACCTTTTGTAATAAATGCAACAACTAAAGTATCGTGAGATAATCCTGGAGTTTATGTGCAGAGCTGTTATATAAAGGCAGAGGTTAAATAATTAATAGTTGGAATTTATCAATAATTTACAAGAATGATGGCTCGTGTCATCTGTCTGCCACATCTGACCTCCTCTAACCTGGATACTTTTCTGATTCTGATTCAAATCTGAAGCTATCAYTTTTAACTCACTTTCAATACAATTACATGTTCGATACACATAATTTATAYTTTGCATTTCTCAGTTTTTATCATATAAAAGTGTTCTATTTTGGGGATAAATATGATACATAAATGATATAAATAATCCATTGCCTCCAACAGTCCAACATGAAGAGCCTGGAGCACGAGCTGCATTGCCCCGTGTGTAAAGAGATAGTCAAACAGCCCGTGGTCCTGCCGTGCCAGCACAGCGTCTGCCTAATGTGTGCCTCGGAGGTTTTAGTGGCAAACGGCTACCCGCCTCCGGACCTCCCCCCAGAGCCCAACTCCCCGGCCTCCACCCCCAACACGCGCTCGCCTCGTCAGGCTCGCAGGCCCACTCCCAAAGCTGAGCAGCGGCCTATTGACCGTGTGCTGCGATCAGGTAAAAAAAAAAAACATATATATTTTTTTGGCAATCGTTTATTCAAAGTTTGGTTCATTTYTTGATCTTTGCTGCTTGTGCTCACGAGGTCCCCACCCGCCGTCGCCGTCCATGCCTCGTTCTCCCGGTCATGGGACATATCCGGGGCGACGGCGTAAGGAGGGCCCGCCCCTGGTGATGATGTTCCCCTGCGTCCCCTGCGGCCGAGACGTTGAACTGGGAGAGAAGGGCCTCACCGACTGTCTCCGCAATCTCACGCTCGAGCGAATAGTGGAGAGGTACGCCTATAACAAAACAATATATATTTATAAAAAAAATGCTAAGCTAAGCAGATAAAGCCCCCACTTTAGTATTGATTTTAAGCTGAGGACAGAATATAAAAAAGTAAATGACTGAAAAAAAGGAGGTGTGGGAACATTTCCAGCAGCAGCTGAAGTGTGAAAAAATCCTGCCCCCGTGTGCAATACAACATACTGTCCTGCTACATTTACTGACAGTGTGTTTCCACGGGCTAGCAGCTTTTTGTTCACTTTCTCACATCTTTCCTCTTGTCTCTCTCGCTCTAGATCCCCGCACCTTTTAGACACGTTGCTTTTAGCTGAAATCTTCCTTTTTGTGATCGTCCTCCCCAGGTACAGACACTCCGTGAGTCTGGGCAGTGTTGCAGTGATGTGTCAGTTTTGTAAACCTCCTCAAACTCTGGAGGCCACTAAAGGCTGCGCTGACTGCAGAGCTAATTTCTGCAACGAGTGTTTCAAGCTCTATCACCCCTGGGGAACACCYCGGGCCCAACACGAGCACATCCTGCCGACACTTAACTTCAGGCCAAAGGTACACTTAATCTTTATATGCATACAGGAGAAACTATAAAACTACAATTAAAAAAATCAAATTAAAGCTGATTTCTTATCTTCTTTTTAAATGAGACTCAGGTGGATTAGTTCGGCTTTAAGGGGATCCCCGATTAGTTGCAACATTAGACTTTATTTGATAAACATATATTTTAACTGTAAAATAAAGACTGTAAAAATACTGTAGGCTGTTTAGTTTTTATAATTTTTAAACTAAAAGTTTTAAAATATATTACACGGACAGAGCCATTTTATTTACACACAAAGCATTCTGTGTAAATGATGACGCTGACAGGTCCATGG